GGCCCGGCTCTGCCTCGGTGCGAAGGTTCCACCTCGAGGGCGCTGCCTGCAACTGCACCGCCCCGATCCGCTCGGTTCGGTTCGGCTCCAGGGCCGAGCAGGGCCGAGGAGTGCGAGAGGACCCCAGTGCAGGCAGCCCGTGGCCACGCTCATCAGGCTCATTAAACATTTTTTTTTTCTTTCTTTTTTTTTTTTTCATTTCAAATTTCTCCAAACTCTGCCCTCTATAATAACCGGGAAAGTTTTGCATTGCTTTGGCCAGAGTTTTCTTACTTGTTTTTTTATAGCAATGCTGGAATCTGGAAAACTCCTTTACGATTTAACAAACACATGCAACCAGTGCTGACACAGTCACTTTGGTTACATGGTGGTGTTTGAATTTCGGTGTTAAAGGCCTGTCCCAGGCAAGCCAGAGGGCTCTGACAATATCTGATGAGTCTTTTGATCCTCTAATGGTTTCTTCTTTTACTCTTGGAAAATGGCACGGGGAAGTGAGCCAGGTCTTGGGCAGAATTTATTAACTTATTTTTGCATTTACTTTTTCCAAAACCCTTCCCTGTTCGGAGAAGAGGGAGGAGCTGTGGTTTCAATGGTTCTGTTCTAGAAATCTGGAATATAGTCTCATGAGTTAACCCCATGTTAGAGCATGAGCAGTGCTCCATCTTAAAGAAAGGGTTTTCGCTAACCTGTATCAGGAAAACGAGCAATGCATAATCTTTATTTAGACTTTGAAATCAGAGGAGTTTCAAATAAAGTGCAACAAAAATAAGCATGATTCTTTGGGCACAGCTGATGCTTCTACCACTGTGTGTACCTTGCAGCTGGATATGGAAAGGAAACCTCTGATGTGTTCTAGCTTGCCCATATTGCCCTTCCCTCTCTCTCAACCACATCTTTTCTAGGCACAAACTGGGGAATATAGTTACTATATTTTGTTATTTGTGTCTACACTGAGCAGAACAAAGACTTTTAGGCCGGCTTATGATAAATATGCATAATTAATCAATGTGTGCTGTGTTTTGAGTAAATGTGAGCATGGAAGATATTTATTCCTGGAGAAAAGGAAAATGGAAAAAGGAAAAAAGGAAGGGGAAGGGGAAAGGGAAGAGGAAAGGGAAGGGAAAAAAGGAAGGGAAGGAGAATGGAGAAAGCTTTACAGGAAAATAGTCTTATTTCATGAAGATATATGGCACAAAAGAGAGGCAAAATATATCCATCATTCTTCAAAAGAATTCTTTCTGATTCAACCTCAACAGCAGCTAATGTCAGTTTGTACAGAAGACTTATGTCAGAACTGGTGACATCGACTACTTGCACAACTAACTCAGGATAGAAGAAATCCATTTCTGCAGAGCAAGCTGTCTTAAAGGAGGTCTTAAATTCTCTTAACACCCTTATTTGAGTGAGAAGTCCTAATTTTCAGAGGAAGCATCTGACAGGTCTGGATGCTGGCATGGACTCAGGACCACACTAAAATGTCAGGACCCTAGAGACATAGCCTGAGAGATTTCAGTTCTAGCTATTCTTAATGCCAAAACCAAATATATCCTCCTTCAGTTACTCTATGCCTCTATTTTTCCTTCTGTGGAGGAGACATTCCTCCAAGTATCCAAGGAAGTGATTTTGACTGATCAATTCATGCCAAAGGCGCTATTCCGTAAACACATGCACATGCATAGACATCAGTGAAATCTGAAAGGGGGTGATTTTTGTATCTTTGAGATGGTGCCAAGTAAGAAACACTGTTTCTCCCATGAGGATTTTTTTTATATATATACTGTCATCCAAGTGATGAAATACAACTTCTGGGGTTAGTCAAACACAGGGATTAAAACTACTGAGACAATAAAACCACTTGAATAATCACTTTTAGGCAAAAGTCTGCTGATTAATAGTCACTAAGGAATACAGAAGCATGAAGTCAACGATTTCCTTAAAGGTGACATTGAATATTGGGTTCTGAATTACATTTTAGAATACAAGTGAGTTTGAAATTTTCAAGAAATATAATTACTAAAAGAGAACTCACTTGACATTCTAAGGCTAATGCTTCTTTACAAAAGGTAGAGAATAGAGAAAAAATAAAAGAGGGAGAAATGGCATTTCATAGCAGTAACTATGACAAACAAGTGTTATCTGGAAGCCAGAGAAAGTGTGCAATCATCTGTAAAATAGAATATATCTTGGGAAGGCCCAGTTGTGACTTATTTCAAGCAAACTTTCCAGCAGTGAACAAGACGTGTCAAATCTTAGAATATATTTAAAAAAAAAGAAAGTTAGGTATCATATAGGAAAGGTAGCGTTGTGTTTCCAGGGAAAGTATTTTCAGAAACAGGATATTTTTAGTAGCTAATTTACAAACATTAACTCCAATATTTTAGAAGATTTTAACAGCTGTAGAGTGTCTCTCAGCTGGAAAGAGCAACAATGCACAACTTACCATTCTATAAAAATTATTTTTTTTTTTTCAGAATCTCTACATACTGTTCAGGAGCAGGAACAGTGAGCTGCTCTTCCAGGGAGGGCGAGCTGGGAGCCAAGGATGAGGGCAAAGCAGGCAGGACCTCCCCAAGTCCTACAACAGACAGAGGACAAGAGGTGACAGTAGGTCACTGGCAGGTCAGGTGGCCAAAACCAGGGCTATACCACAGCCCGGTGATGCCAGACTTGATGTTTGAGCGGAAGATCAAGTGGGAGCATCAGGATCTGAATCAGAGATGCACATCGCCAGGCACGGCATGGCTACAATAGCTCAGGAAAGGACAAAAAGTGAGTCTGGAGCTGAAAAAAAGTTCCCTAGTGGTGCTGGGGAGCATCTGAGGAGATTTCTTAGAGCTTTCTTGCAAGACTCTCTCCTCAGCAGGCTGGTCCAAAGTCACACATTTGCATCACAGCAGCAGGCAACCAAGCCCTAGGAGCAGTCAAGGCCTATGGGTCCTACACAGATCTGGTCTATGTCCATGAATGCCATAACATCATACCCTGATGATTGTGGCAGTGAAACACTCCTTCTTGAACACTGCCATAAAACTTGATACATTTTCTTAACACACAGTTTAGGAACATGCTTCTCAACATGACTGAATTCTGGAGAAGACTGATTCAGAAGTTAGATAACGGTAGATTCATACCAAATATATATGAAGAAATAGGTTATTTATAAATAAAGTGTTCCCAAAATACAAGCGGGCAATGAACTGGTAAAATTCGCTCACAAGTCAGAACATTGAAGTCAGTAGAGATTGTTGTAAAGCAAGATGATATTTGCAAAAGAGAAGAGAGACTCAATCCTAATTAACTCAAAATTACAATGCCCACAAAGGGAATTATGCACTGTTACATCTTTATAATGGGGACACTCTCCACTAACATGCCCTTTAGGATAATGGCTGTGTAGTTTTATACATATAATTGATTTAGTATCTATCTATATCTGTATCAAGTTCTGCAGCTTCAGAAAACTTAGTATCTCACATTGTCCTTCACTGATGAAGCCATGTTTAAGAGCGTCTTTCATTCTAAACCATTTTACTGAAAATGATTAAAAGCTATATACAGTAATTATTTTTCAAGCCCTGGAAATGCAGATATCTTTGAGGTGAGGTACAACAAAGGTTTTTAAATCAGGAAATAAAGCCTGTACCTTTTCAGTACCTTTCCAACATGCAAGCCATAACCTTTCCTCTTAAATGAAAGCCAGTTGACACAGCTGCTTTAGATGTAGAAATCTTCATACTGTATCCTTCAAAGAAGTTCTTTGCATGCAAAACGTCACTTACCAAATGACAGGTGGAGCTGATCCTGCTCCTCCTTCTTCCAGCCATTTTGTAGGCTACTGGCAAAATCCTCTGAAGTTAGCAGAGCTTGTAAACAGCTGATCATCAGGTCTGTTGTTTTCACTATTTTTGCAGACAGCAGTGTTTGTCAGAAGGCAGTTTGCTAAACCAGGTTTGCACAA